AAACAATCCCATTCAAAATAGTCATGAAAGAAATAAATTATGTAGTAATATACCTAACTGAAGAAGTCAAAGACCTCTACAATAAAAACTATAAAATAAATTTTAAAAAACATTGAAAACGACACAATGGAACAATGAATCTAATCAGAATAGCAATTCAATTCAATTCAATATACAAATTTAGCACAATCCCAGGCAAATCACTAGTGATATCATTCACAGATTTAGAAAAAACAATCACAGAATTCGTCTGGAATATATAAGACCCCATATTGCCAAAGCAGTGCTGCACAAGAAGAGAAAAGTAGGAGGTCTCTCACTCCCTGACCCCAAAATATATTATAAAGCCATGATAATCAAAACAGCATGGTATTGACACAAAAACCAGATATGTGGGTCAATGGAACAGAATAGAGATACCAGAAATAAACCCCCAAACATATAGCCAACTGATTTTTATAAAAAGGTCACCAGTCAATTCAGTGGGGAATAGAAAATCTTTTCAGCAGATGGTGCTGGAAAAATAGGCTATCCACCTGTAGAAAGATAAAACTGGATACCTATTTCTCACCATTAACAAAAATCAACTAAAGTGGAACCAAGATCTAAACTTAAGACCTCAAACTATACAATTACCAGCACATAATGCAGAGGAAACTCTTGGAGACATTGGAACAGGCAAAACTTTTTAAATAAGACTCCTAAAATACAGGCAATAATCTCAAAAATAGACAAATGAGATTACAGGTTAAAAAGCTTCTGCTCAGCAGAGGAAATAATAGAGTGAAACAGCAACCCTTGGAATACAAGAATATATTTGCAAAACATGCCTCAGACAAGGGACTGATAACTAGAATATATAAAGAACTCAAGTGGCTTACCCCCCCAAAAATGATCGACCAATTAAGATGGGCAAATGAGTTGAACAAACAGCTCTCTAAGGAAGACAAATGGACAGCCAAAAAGCATATCCCATATTCAGTGACTTAAATCTCAAGTTAGGTGCATGTACGTGCATGCCCTAGATCCCAAGAGAATGGAGGAGAAAGTATTTGCAGCGTGGTCATCCCCCTGAGGAGTGATTTCTTGATTTCTGTTTGTCTCTGTCTCTTCAGCAAGGAAACACACCCTATAGCAAAAAAATCATTCTCTTAAAAAAAAAAATGAGAAATGAAAATGAGCTCTGATAGAAAAAAAAAAAAAAGCAATGGTAAGTGCTGGCAGGGTAGCTGTGTAAATGGAACTTTCCTACCCTGTTGGTGGGAATTTAAATTAGTAAAGCTACTGTGGAAAACAATACAGAAGTTTCTCAAAGACCTACAAATAGAACTACCCTATGGGCCAGCAATTCCACTCCTGGATATCTACCTAAAGGATAGGAAAATGCTTAGTTGGAAAAGTGTTTGTACGTCCATGTTCATTGCAGCATTATTTAAAATTGCTAAGAACTAACCGAAATGTCCACAGATGAATGGATTGAGACAGTGTGGCATATATACACTATGGAATACTGCTTAGCCATAAAAAACAACCAGACCCTAGCAGTTGATATAAAGTGAATGAATATTGAATATTTACTTCTCAGTGAATCAGGCTAGACAATGAAAGAGAAAAAAATATGTGTCTCCACTACACATACACACAATTTATAAATACACACACACACACACACAATAACACTGGACCCACAAGAGTTTAGCAGTTTGGAGAATATATAAGAATGGAGAATGGTTGCAGATACTGGAGGCAGAGTGGAAAGTCATGGAAGGTGGAAGGTGAGAAGAAGGGAATCAAGCAGAAAAATAGAGAGGCAACATACTTAAAGGACACCAAAATGGAGGGTTGTGCATTAATGGTGATGTGTATGATAATATCTCTAGTTAGAGTAGTGTGCAGTGTATTTATGCTGAGAAAATTTATTTAACAAGCTGTGGTGACGTACAATGGTTAAATGTATAAAATAAAATAAAAATAAATAAATAAAATGAAGCAAATATGTTTTTATTTTTTTGATGAGTGTGATTGTCATGTGACATTACAAGAAACACTTTATAACAAAATATAAATTTAAAATTGTTGACTTCTACAGTGATTTGTATTTATTTTATTATTTTTTAGAGCTTTTTTTCGTCTAGGTCATGTGCATCACTGGAGAGACAGAGAGACAGAAAGTGAGAAGTCACCTCCCCACCCCCACAAGATGGCAACATCTCAATCCCTTCTCCTCGTCTCCACTTGGAATCTTGGGCATGCAGACACATGCACCTGGTGTGATTTTTAAGCCACCGGGTCCAGGATTCAAACTGCTATCCACTACATGGAAGTTCAGTGACATAACCATTATGTTATCTTCTGGTCCCAAGTTTTAAAGAATTTTTTTTGAGAGTTTATTTGCTATAGGGTGCATGCACTCTCCAGTAAGACAGAGAGAGACAGAGGGACAGAAGCAAGAAATCACCTGCCAGGGGAGATGGCCACGCCACAATGCCTTCTCCTTCATTCTCCTCTCAGATGTTGGGCACGCATGCACACGCACCCAGCGTGAGTTTAACCCACCGGGTCTGGGACTCGATCCACAGTTAACTACATGGGAATCCAGTGACAAAGCCATTAAACTAACTGCTGGTCCGTTAAAGAGATTTTTAAAGGAAGAATATTAACCTCTTAACATTTGGGATTATAACAGTTTGTTGCAGAAAATAATTAACCTTTCTTATCTATACAATTGTCATTTGTCTTTTTTTCCCTTTTCTTTTTCTTAAATTTATTTATTTTACATTCACTCACATTATCACAGCATAAAAAAATGAGATTTCCCATCAGAATACAGTGTATATTGACTTAATAATATTATTATATATGTTATCAACAAGTATTTTTTCCTAGATTTTTTCTTATATATTTTGTATATTTTCCTCCTTGAGTCCCTACTTCTCACCCTCTGGCATTTCCCACCCTCCTCCCACATTGTCTTTGATATCTACAGTTGCTTTCCATGCCTCTTTTTTCACATTTTATTGATATACAAAAAATCTTGTATAATTATTATTTTAATTTCAATTTGTTCTGTACATTCAATCATGTTATTTAGCTTCCAAAGTGAATATTCCAACATGTGTACATTTCTCACCAGTCCAGTTGACAATACTATAAAGTTGTCTTCAATAAATAATAAAGATAAATCTGAACCCCTACCTCTCACAATTTGCAAAAATCAACTCAAAGAGGATCAAAGATGTAAACCTAAGACCTCAAACTATAAAACTGCTGCTCAAAAACACTGGGGAGACTCTGGGAGACATTTGAGTAGCCAAAGACTTCATAAGTAAGACCCCCAAAGCATAGTAATTTGTCTTTAATGCTTTCAAATAGAAGCAGTATAAAAAAACTGTACTCAAATCTAAATAGCCATTTGGACAAGATTACATAATTTTCTAAGAATCAACTTCAAAGTCACTCAAAGGATAATTTGAATTCTATCATTGTTAGTACATACAGAAATTAAATGGTAAATGAAATCTCCTAATGTTGATTTCACATGTATGTATATTAATTTGTTTTAT